ATTTTAGGAGTTACTTCTTACCATAGTAACTCCATCACTAGCTCATCGCAAGCCAATGTTTATTCAATAATATAAGTACAAATTAAATTGCACTCACCTTAGCCTTGCTTTGATTCGATTATAATCCTTTGATTATTTCGGAACTTGTTTAGGCTCAATATCTACATAAATATACATTTTAAGGCAATTATTAGATACCTGCACCTTGTAGTTGGATACTATCAACTTAAACGAACTTATTAAACCCATATTTTCAATTTTCCTTTAGGGAGGGTATCGATTCCCTACTGGGGGTATCGATACCCTCATGACATTCTGGAATTCTGTCGTTTGAGAGGGTATCGGTACCCTTTTGAATGGGTACCGATTCCCCCTAACCCAGAAATCATTTTTCAGCACAAAAATTACTTCATTTCCTCTCAAACACTTCATATATCATCCCCTTTTTCATTCTTAACTCTAGTACACATACTTAAACCAATCTATATTCATTTATTTCATCTTAAACCTCAAAATCCTATCTTCCATATGTAATTCAATAATTACATCAATTTTGCAATATGTTTCAAATCCAATTCTATTACTTCATATCTCTTACTTAGATTGATAACAAGTCAAATCCAACTTTCAATTCTTGTTATGAACTCTATTCTCATATTTCATTCAAGAACCTCTAATCTTTAATCTTCTCTATCTCCTTTATCTTTTGATCTTAAGATAACTTAAGCTTTCCTTAAGCTTAGTTATCATCTAATGATCAAAACCCAATCTTAAACTTAACAAATAATTAACTAAGTAGAAGACTCACCTTTGAGCTTGGAGATACGGGAGGAGAGGAAGAAGAAGAAGAAAATAGAGTTTCTGGAGAAATCTCTCAATCTTATCCCATATATATCATTATCTTATCTTTCCAAGTCAAATAACCACTTTGCCCTTAAAATCCTTTAATAATTACTAACAACTTTTAGGATTTATTTTAAGATAAATCATTGAGCTAATTCATTCTTCTACTTTAATCACCAAATTCTGAAACTTTACAATTAAGTCACTAACCCATAGTTTGGGATGTTGCAGAATCCTTTCTTGAATTAAATGAAAACCAATAACCCTAACCACTGTGATATTCGACCCTAAGGAATTAATTGGGGGGAAATTATGAAAAACTTCCCTAGGCTTATAAATGATGTTTGAAAGGTTCTACAAGCTTTAGAAAGTTATTTGGGCCATTTTGTAATTTTATGAAAGTTAGAGGACCTATTCAAAAATTATGGGGTTTATGTGAAAATGTTAGAAAGATGATGTACTATGCTAGAATTGAGAGTTAGAATATTGAATTTTATGTTAGAATGTGAAATCTGACTATTTTTTAAAATTGGCAAAGTTTGAGTACTAAATGACAAATATTGAGAAAGTTAGTGACTTAAGTAGTAATATTGGAGTTGTTGAGGTATTGGGATGAAAATTAGATGCTGAAAATTTAATTAAGTTTTTTGAAACTTGAATTGAAGCTAAAAGTCAAAGGACTATTTGGAATAAAATGGAAAGTTGATATGAATTCTAAAATAATTCATAAATGGTAGTTAAAATGGAAAGTTGAAAAATGTTATATGAAGTTTGGGTGAATTTGGATAAAAAGAGATTTATTGGTCAATTTGAAGTATTAAGGTCAACATTGATTATGGGATATGAAATTAATATCGAAAGATTTTTAGGAATTTATTTTCTATTGTGTGCCTATGTTAGTAAGATTCTAACATATGGTTTCAAATGTATATGTTATGTAAATGGTGTTCATTTAGATTATGATTGGAATCAAGATCAAGCAATGTTAAAGCTAAGGAGAATCTTAAGGACATAATATGAAGTGTTAGGAAGGTTTATAAGCTAAATACACCAGGTGAGTACATATTTAATTCATATTTGTCTGATCGAGCAAACATTGGCTTGCGATGATCCAATGAAGAAATTACTATGGTAAGAAGTAACTTATAACTATTATGTGAATTGTGATTCATACATATATGTTCAGTTAATATGATAAAATAGAATTAGTGAATAAGATGAAAATATAAGTTAGTGAAATATGCCCAAATTTGTGTTTTGAATAGTAAGTTTAGAAAGTCATCATAATTATACAGAAATTATTAGAGGATGATTTTTACACCTTTGGATTCGTATGTCAATATAGTTTCGTTTAAAACAAACAGATACTAATTTCAATAGGTATACAAAAAGATATGAATTTTTAATTGAGGATAGGTCAGAAAACGGGGTAGCATATTCTACTCAAAACAACTTCTGTAGGTCAACTACGAAAATTCACTATAAATTGTATAATATGAACTAGAAAAAGTGCCTTTATTGTATTCGAATTTAGTTTCTATTGGTATAAACGAAATAATTTTTAAGTGTGTAGATTAATATAGAATAATATTCTTTGCAAGTAGTGCATAGTACCAACATATATAACTTGTTATAAATTATGTTTTCATATTAATCCTATGTTATAGGTTATAATAATTGCTCGAAATAAGTCAAATTTATTACAATTGGTGTGATAGTTATGATATTTATTACATGATGAATATGATGTTTATATGTTAAAGAAAGATAATTGACAATGATTAAGATATATAAATGTTATGTGGAAATGAAATGTTTAGGGTATGAACTGCTCATTATGTTATGATATGAAGAGTTGAATATGTTGATATATTGGTATCTTTGATAAATGAAATGGAAAAGCTTATTGTATGTTGCATTGAGAGTCGTAGGTACACTTGGCAAGCCAAGAAGTTGAGTAAAGTTCAAGTTAAGTTACATTACATTGGTGTACATTAAGTATGCCACCGTTGGTGCATATGATATGATTTGCACTTGGAGTGCACCTTATGTTGATGATTTGGCACTGAAGTGCCTACGCACATTATATATGACTCACGTATCTTGCATTCTCATAAATATTTATTGGGATATGAATTTGAAAGTAAGTTATGAATCTGACAGTAAGCTATGAGTCTGAAAATAAGTTATGAATATGGAAATAAGTTCTAATTCAGAAAATAAATTCTGAAATGTGAAAGTATTTATTATGAACATGAAATATGAAAATGAATATGAAAGTAGAAAATGAGAATAAAATAAGAAAGTTCTGAAAAGTATTTGAATGAAATAGAGTATGACATGATTGTTATGTTTATTATTGATTATCATGGTTTTGATAAAATCATGAGATGATGATTTTTAGGTCTCTGATGAGAAAAGATGGCTTGAATAAATCAATTAGGATATTTAATGATTTTAATTAAATTTAAGTTTAATGTTTTGAATTGTTATGATATTTTAAGTTAAGCTTTATATTAAAAAAATATAATGGTATGATGTTATTACGTTGTTTAATATTCTATGTCACCTTAGTTTGTTTATAATCCTCACTAAGTGAACACTTAACGTTTGATGATTTTCACGCGTAGGTAAAGAAGGACAAGTGAAGTAAGGAGTCGAGTCGGCGTCAATCAACAAACAACAACTATAACTATCAGTAATGGCATCCTACTATTTTAAATTTTCTAGATGGCATGTATACGAATAGAAAAATGTCGAAGATATATTATTAGGGTTATAAATATTAATCTAAGTTTTATATTTTAGATAAAAATTATATTTTACGAGAACAAAGAAATATTTTAAAATTAGGCAATTTTAAGCAATATTGTTTACTATTGAACTACTAATTTTATGTATAAAATTAAGCTTGATTTATATGATAATTATTATTTTATAATTTTGCACAATTAATTAAATAATTGTAAAGTTAATAATTGAATATTTTATAATGGAATAAAATTTTAAGCATTTATGATCAGTGAATCCTTGTAAAGTTGATGTGACATCTTTATTTCGTATTTTGAGATGTATACGATCTATGAGTATTACACCTTTGGTCATGACGGTTGCCCACATAGCCGTTGTCCAACAACTATTTTTTTAATTTGAAGGATCTCATCACCTCGACGTGATGAGTTCCACTTAATTTTTTTAATTTATACTTTTTATTTTATTTTATTTTTTTAATTTAAAAAATATTTTTTAAACGAACTTGTCACTCCGAGTTGACGAGTTATTTTAATAATAATAAAGTAATAGCCCACGTGGAGCCTATTTCACAGAGATAATTTAAAAATAATATCTTCAAGTGAAAGTGACGAGTTGAGTGTTCATTGTAGAGAATATTGTAGTTTCCAAAATAAAGTCACCCTAATAATTAACCCGCAAAAACCTATGTATGACACTAATTCACTTTGTGTTAGTTAATGTGGAACACAAGTCGGGTCATAAATTTTATCAATAATCACTCATATTTATAAATGGTTAAGGCATTAAAAAATGGTTAAATCGTAGCTTTTTGTTGAATTTAGAATTAAGTTTTGACTCATGATCACCTCAAGGGTTCCATTCATGATTTCAGTCTCAGTGTGAAAGTTCATTTTATGTTCTGAAATTATTTCAAGTGGAAAAAAAGCCTTTGTTTAGTTTCATACACAACTTTGCTGAATATCACAACTTGTTTTTTGCATGCGCTAAATCATATAAAAAGGTAAATTCCAAGGCGGTAAATGGCATCACATAATTCACAATTGAAAAAACTTTAGCTTTGTGGATTTTTCTTTTATATTATAAATACAAAAAGGAAAATTCAAGTTAATATAACTAGATCATTTTATTTACCTATTGTAAATGTCAAGTCACTCAAATATAACTGTGAGATTACTATTTGTTATACATTAATATCAAGGTGATTTGATTATTATTATTATTATTATATGGATAAATAAAATGACTTAATTGTGACTTTTTAAAATACAAGGGGTAATTATAAATCTACGCATAATACAATACAATACAATGATCTGTATCTGTATGCTGATAATTATTACAAGGCAGATGGAACTAGTGTTGAAGCGGATATTGAAAGAAGCAAATCTGAGCAGAAGAGGGACACGCGGCGCCAACCCAACACTCTCTCCAACTTTCTTTTATTTTCTCTCCATCCAAACGCTCAAGCTCCCCCTTTTACCAATTATCAATCTTCTGGGAAACATGGAGGATATACAGCCGTCAGACGCTCAGTTAAACGGCGTCGTAGCACCTCTCGTGGTGAATTCATCTGAGACCGTGGGAGTTGGTCCAAAACGCCAGAGACGTCCCAGCGTTCGTTTAGGAGATATCGGCGGAGACCAACCCTACGATTCTCTTGCCCGAAGACCCTCCTCCTCTTCCGCCGCAACCAAGCAATGGAAGCACCACTCAGCTGCTTCTGCCGCCGCCAGTACTAAATCATCCAAGACTCGCGCCCTCACCAATTTCACCACTGACTTCAGCGATGATGAAACGGAAGCTAACAACAATTTTGATGGTGTCGCAATCGGTAGCTGGAAAGTCAAAGATTTCAACAAGCGGGGCTACGCCACTAAACGGGTCCTCTCGAATTGGGTCCCCAAAGTCGACGACTCCAGCGACGGAAACATCAATGCCAACGGTAGCAATAACAACACTATCATCAATAATTTCGAAACAGAGGAAGATAACGACGATTTCGACATGGAAAACTCGGAAAGTCCCAAGAAAGAGCATAGTCCAGTTCGTTCTTTGGATAACTTAGGTGGCCGTGGCAATGAAAGGGAAGTCCTTTTCCATGGAAGGTGCGAGGAAGATGGGGTTAGGATATGGTTGAATAGTTTGGGTTTAGGAAGGTATGCCCCCGTTTTCGAAATCCATGAAGTGGATGATGAGGTTCTGCCATTGTTGACATTGGAAGATTTGAAAGATATGGGGATAAATGCAGTTGGTTCAAGAAGGAAAATGTTACGTGCAATCCAGAAGCTTGGTGAAGGCTTTTCCTAACATATTTTAAAATCAGTTTAGTGTTTCTGAAAGGAGAATTTCATCAGCCATGGCAATGTAATGTAAGAGCTTAAGCCTTATGTTTTACCTTCTTTTCTTCTTGTGTTTGTAGAAAAACAGGAGAATCAAATCAATAGGGAGTTTTTTGTTTGCAATGTAAGAGCTTTTGTTAAGGTAGTGTGCTAAGCTAACTATTGTTGACAACTTCAATGGAAGAATATAAGCTTTTATTTTGGTTAAAGTGATTAACAAAATAAGACAGTTTCAACCTTACTCTTATGGTTTTCTTATTCTTCTTGATTATCCATGGAATATGTTTTCACAATTAGATGCTATAGAAGTGATTTATATGCTGATGATCGCGGCCTATCGTTAAAGCAATGAATGAAGCAATCACTCAAGAAGTGTTTGTTTACTATAGTTGTTTATGGTTGTCTTTGAGTAGTTGTTTCCCCCTTTAATCTGAATTGTCCATGGGCTGGATATGGATATTTTTACACTCCATCTATAAATTTTGCGCTTGTTTGGCATCTCTTTAGGAATATACATGTATTTACATCTCAATTACTTTAATCTAGTCATGTAGAACTATGGTGCTTTTGGTAAGGTAATGTTGACTATTGTTGAGAACTTTAATGGAGACAGTGAGAGAATTTCAGCCTTTTTTATTTGGGGGAAAGTCATTAACAAAATAAGACAATGTCTATCATGTTCTTATGGTTTTTTCATTCTTCTTAATTATGAAATGGAATTTGTCTTTACAATTAGATACTGGAGAGGTAGTTTCTAAGGTGACTGGCATGGCGTATTGTACCAAAGGAACGAAGCAATCACTTAAGAAGTGTTTGTTGACTCTGATTGTTTTTCGTCATATTTACAGTCTGGCTAATTGGTTATATGTAATTTTGCACTCCTCCCGCATGGTGATTATATCTATCTATCTATATATATATATATTCACATCTCAAGTACTTGCAATGTCCAACACAGATATGTTCAATTTTCTTTTAAGTTTTTCTATTTATTTGGAGAATCATACCCCTAAATATGTCCGGATATGAGTCGGGCAACATAGACCTAGTCATCTAGAACTTCCCTTTCACATACAAATGCTGTTTTAGGATTGAAAACCATGTCTGACTTTATTTTATTTTATTCTTTTTTTTGCCTTAATTGAATCAAGTTAATGTATATTTTAGTTAGCAAGTAAACAATACTGGTACTCACCTTAAGCATAGTTCCGAGTGTTTGAACATTCTTATAAGTTAGACTTTTATCATTCAGTACCTTGTGTTGAATATCTGTGGCCTGACATTATAGCTTTCTATAGCCTAAAGTTATGTTAAAATGTCCCTGATTTAACCTTTTATGATTTTGATTAAGATCCAAGAGTGGAGTCTGGCCAACAAATCAACCTGCACTCTCATTGAAACCACACATCAACATTCCCTCCATTGTTCATTGACATCACAGGCTGTGGAGTTCCTTACCAGTTGCAGATATAATTTGTTATGCTGCTGATGGTGATAGTTGATGTTGTGTACTTAAGTTCCTGAGATTGAGTTGGGAGCATTTTTTTGTTAAAAATTGTGGTTTGAATTTAGGCAAGTCATCCTTGGCTATTGAACAAGACTCTTTAATTTCAATACAAGACGGCTATTCCTCCCTCAACTCCCACTTTAGGTTATGATATGGATGGACAACCAAGCATTGAATAAAGTTGTAGTTGTAGCCATTATCAAATGAAAAAGAAAATGGCAAACCTAGTAAATTTGCAAACATTCTACTTGAGAAGTGGATTGTGGGGTTTTTTTTTTTTTGAAAGTTAAAAATGTTTATTAATAAGAACAAGTAATACAACCATTGATAGGGGTCTCATTAAAAAACCTCCTTAAACCTAAGTAGAGGAAAAAGAGTGCACCCTATCAATGAACTCCTAAAACCTAAAGCTCAGCAAACACTGGAAACAGTCCCTAGACACCTCAGAGACCACCCAATATGCTTATACACCTTAAGAACCGCAAATCCCCCTAGGAGAGAAGACAAAAGAACTCCAAACAAAACACAACCTACAGGCAGCACTAGCCAGCTGCAGCAATTATTCCGTGCATTATGGTTAACAAGTAAAGTTGCAATTATTGAGTTGATAGGATGAAAATGATGTTATTTTCGTCGGAGTTGGGACATGTTGGTTAAAGGCTTAGCCCTTTATGACTATCCTTATTCCATGCAGTAATTATGTAGAAATCCAATTACTTCCATAAATCTAAAAATTCCTTCTCCACCTATAATTAATTATTAATGAAAAAAATGATTAAGTCATAACTAAATCAAGCTATTTATTAATGTTGTTAGCATCATAGGAAATGCGGTTGTTGTTGATGATTAAGTCCTAACTGAATCAAGTTATATTATATTGATTCTGCTTGCTTTGGATTGGATTCATTTATAAAATATAAACTTTGTGCTCATGTTGGATCGTTTGCTGATGGCCAAGTCCTAACTGAATCAAGTCATATTATATTGAACCTGCTACTAGCCTTAGATCACTTCCCTTTTTTTTAATAGTTATTTAGGTGTTTGATGCACAAATTAACCATTTTATTTAATGCCTATGTTGGATGGTTGGAAATTCCAATAAGAATTGGCTTGGAGGGTTGGTGTGATGTAGGAATAGACTTCAATAAGTGGCTTTGTCTCACAGCCTTAATTATTTCAACCACACAAAGGATCAGCTGGAGCATCATTAATAATCCACTTCCTGTATATAATAGTAGGTGTTGTTTTAGTTTCCATGAATGTTTGGCAGATGATACAAAAATGGGAGTTGAAGGACTGGAATGATTACCAAATCTTCGGGGAATGAGGGAATTGCAACTGTGCTTATGCTCTTCTTACTTAGGGATGAAGGATGGCTTGTTTTTTATGTTTGGATTATAGGCATCCGGTTCTATTTGAGACAACTTGGGTTTAGTTTAAATACACCATGTGGCAACCACTGAAGGATGCTTTTTCTTATGCTTTAGCAGTTTGAGACTTTAAAATAATGTTCCTTTTGTTTTAGAATAATATTGTACAAGTATTCTTAGGGTAAATCACTTTATTTTACTTCGATATAAATACTAATTATATCATCAAATGGGACGTATCAGTAGAAGAGCATAAAGTATACATGTTTAAAATACAAATACATACGGTTATTGATAGAATTACATACGAAATATATAAATATGATTACAACTCATCAAAATATAGAGAGTAGAATCCGAATAATAAAAAATATTTCTCTCCAACATAGAACATAGTAATAAAAGCCATCTAATTTCTAGACTTGGCGGCGGAGGTGATGGTAAGCACCAGCAAGCAAATCATTGCAACATACGACAGCATCAATGAAGTGCTCACCTGCCCGCAGTATTTCTCAAATCGATTACATATTTTAAGCCAACCCGTCTTGCTGTTTCCGTCTCGGCCTACCGCTCCGATTGTCGTCCCCGCCACCACACCGGATAACATCAGAGACACCATCAACTGCTACGTCCCCGGGATATCAGTGGGATATATAAATATATTTGTATTAAAACCAGCATAACATACCAGATCGTGTAGGAAGAAGATGAAGTAGATAGAAGCGGTTAATCCATGGCGAGAAAATAACATAGCCATCACCAAGGAGAGGAAAGTGAAACCACATGCAATGGCATTCGCCAAGGCGAAGAACCTGCATACATATGAAGGATTATGTTTTGAGCTTTAAAATTTTTCTGGAATTTATTAAAAAATGTGTTGAGTTGTTTACTTGAAAGCAGGAGAATAAGTATATTTAGCATCAAATGACATTCCCATAACAACAACGGTTTGCTTTGCATTGAATATCACACATGCGGCGGCCAATGCCGTCCCGGTCGCCGCAATTCTGAAGAGGATTTGTGCAGCAAATACAAGTCTGTCTGTTTTGGAACATGGGTTTTCTCCCACGCCAGCTTTAGCGGTTTCCATTAATGGGACTGAAGGCTCTGAAGCTAACTCTTGGAAGAAACAGAGAGAGAGAACAAGTGCAGAAGAGCCGAGGGATATCAAGTTATTTATAGAAGAAAAATATCGAATGAAGTTTAGATATAAAACAGAAGTAATTAATTAAATTGGAGTAAAGAAATGTAAAGTCCCATGAATCATCGTAAGCAGATGGATTTTGCAACAAATTTGCCAAAGAAACTCAGATTTGGTTGACCGCACGAATAGTAAATGTAAAAGTTGTGTTGGGCAACTCCCAAACTGCTCATACATAACGTAAGCGCTGGCAGTACCCTTTTCCTATATTCCAAGGCCTAAACCTACCCTGTCACTGTGTGTCCGTTTCTGTTCCAGACATGTATATTCGACTTATGTTAAATACTTTACATATATATGAAATCGTTGATTTCAACGCTTATAATCAACAAACAGTTTCGTTGCAATGTAGATGAATTTTATTGGTTTTTTTCCACTTTGAGATGGATGAATTTTCACATATAAAAAAGTGATAACAAATGCTGCAGCACATCAAGGTTAAAACTACACTGTCCACTTTCATGAGCAGACCTCACAATTACTGGTGATGTTTATGAATTTTGTTGGGTTTTGTCCACAACAAAAGGACCCCAAACCACACCATTTTATGGCCAACAAAAAATCTAGTCAATCAATTAAGATTATCATCAACGGTGAACAAAGGTCCTACCGGGATTCGAGTCCAGGTCGCTGGATTCAAAGTCCTAAGTGCTAACCACTACATAGAACCGCAGGTTGATAACATGAAATTAAACAGAAAAATTCTTAAAGCCAAAGGTCCGGCTTATCAAATGTTTAAGTGAAAATGTTTTAGTTAATTAAATAAAAGCCACAATGACAAAACTACTACTAATATTTGCATAAATGATTATTTTAATCCTTATTTGTTTTAGTAATTTAGCCCTAATGTATCGATTTATGGTCAAATATCCCATGCTGGAAGGAAATCATTAGTAATTTAGCCCTATTTTGTTTAAATCATCTTTTGTGAGTTTCTAGGGCAAAATGATGTTTTTATCAGAAATGAGCAGATCCATAAAAGCTATTGTTATAATGGAGTGATGAGTGGTTACACTGAAACATTAGCTTAATTCTTAGTTTAGCTAAAAGTTTGTGTAGATTGATTTGTTTTGAATAAGATTTGAATGATTTAAAGCTAAAACAAGTGAATTTTATCTTTCGTTTATAGAATTCAGTAGTGACTATCCGTATAATTTTAAGGTTAAATCATACTACTTAGTCATTTTACTTTTATCATCGATCTTTTAGTTTTGTTCACCTAACTATTTAATTGTTATCAGTCAATTCACTTGCCGTTAATAGTTGCGGAAATATTAACAATAAGTGGTATGATTGACAATAATTAAATAGTTAAGTAGTTGAGTGTCAATAGTATAGTTTACCCTAAGTTTAAATGGCTTAAAACTAGTTATCGCTTGATTTACTTGTTTAAAAGGATTCATCTTTGTGTTTTTATTTACTTTTGTAGTTAAATGGCAGGGCCCGAAGAAAGGTGGAAAGTTGGCACCAGCCAAGAGAAAACAGGTAATTATCATTTCATTATCAATCACAAGGATCCCCGAATTATCTTGATATAGGCTTACAGATTACGAGGTGCATAAAAAATCTGAATATTCGATTTTGCACAAAAAATATTCGAAATCGGATTTGGGAAAAATCGGTTTTTTTAAACCGGATCGGATATTTTAAAACCGGATAGTATAACCGGTTTGGGAAAAAATTGGACGACCGGATTTTTTACCGGATAAAAAATTGGTTTTTTATCCGGAAAAAAATTCGGTCTGGGGTTTAAAAATCCGGTCTGGGGTTTAAAAAATTGGATGACCGGATTTTTTACCGGATTAAAAACCGGTTTTTTTCAAACCGAAACCGGTTACACCGGTTACATCATCCAGCCCTTCAAACCGGTTATGATCCGAACCGATTTTTTTATAAACCGATTTTTTGGCTTAATGAAAAAACCGGATCGATTTTTATCCGATTCGGATCGGATTTAAATCTGGCTATGTGCATCTCTACAAATTACAATATGTTTGTGCTCTTGATTCTGTAAATTAGGAGAAGGTGGGCAACCCATTGTTCGAGAAGCGTCCAAAGCAGTTTGGTATTGGAGGGGCTCTACCTCCGAAGAAGGATCTGCATCGATTTGTGAAGTGGCCCAAGGTTGTTCACATTCAAAGGAAGAAGAGGATCCTTAAGCAGAGGTTGAAGGTTCCACTTGCGTTGAACCAGTTTACCAAGACTCTTGATAAGAACCTTGGTATCCAATAAACGGACCTTTGCTTGTTTCGCATTAGATTTGCTGATTTTGATTTGTTTACTCATTATTGTAGTATGCTATTTTACTTAGTCTAGTGTAAGAAAGGAAGAACATTGGAAATGTGGAGAGTTGTCACCTTAAAAACTAGGTAAAGGTGACTTGTTGAACCATGTAATTGGTTGTGGAAGGTTGAATAGGACCCTATGATTTAGAATTGGTTTTTTAATGTTTTTTCTACTTGAGTTAATAGTATAATACCAAATGGTTTGCTTATAATGTGCATGTTCTGTTATCTTGTGGTATCCTTCTCCTCAATTATTTTTATAGCCTATTTCATCCTTGTTTTATCCTTTCTACCTTAACTTTTTTATGGAATACCTTTTGTTCATAATGATTTGGATTTGGTTATTTTATGCCCATTTGCAGCAACAAGTTTGTTCAAGTTGCTTCTCAAGTACAGGCCAGAGGAAAAGGCAGCCAAGAAGGATCGTCTCTTGAAAAAGGCCCAGGCTGAAGCTGAAGGAAAATCTTCCAAGTTTGTTCAAGTTTGTACTTTGAATGTAGTATACTTTTTTTTGCTTTGATTGAAATGCTCTTTTGTTGTCAGTTGCATTATACTCTTCTTTTTTTCGGCAGAGGAATAATTAAATTATCATTTATATAGTTTAACTTTCAAAGTTGTATAGGAGATGAGGACTAATTTAGACCAATGGTTGGCTTAGAGCATCACTATTTTCAAAATTCTTTATTTTATTAACGAAGTATGCTTAGTTTTAACATGAGCTTGAATTGTCTACTTCATGAAACTTGAGTTATAAATTGGTGTTTTATTTGCTTTGCTACAATATTAATAATCATACTCAACGAATTATATAAATGGTCGGTAGAGCCTAATAGAGTTGTAAATGAGACGAGACGGATCTTGAGCTAATCAATATCGACTCGGTTAAAGTTTGTGAGTTTTCGAGTCGAGCTTAAAAATTTTAGACTCTCGAGTTTTCGAGTCGATTCGAACTATATTTTAGAATTTTTGAGTCGAATCGAGTTCAACAATACTCAAATTCAACTCGGCCGTTACCCCCGATAGAAGAAGAAACGACACCATTGTCGATGATGGATACCATAGGTTTCCCCGCTAAATTGGGGATTAAATCTAACAGGGTCACAGTGTGAAAGCTAGCAAATTGCAACGTTATCAGTTTTGCGTGCAAGGAATTCAACGCGTACCTCTTTTATTAAACTATGCAGGTTTTGGTTTACATTTATCTCTCATTTTGTTGGGTGTACCAACCCTGTTTATATTCTCAATAATTTGGACTCTAACTTGGGATATCAACATTCTTATTCAAATAATATATTTTTATATCTACATTAATGCTATTTTAACAGTTGAACTTAATTATGGTTTTGTGGGGGAGAAACTTAATCATAGTGTATTAACACCCACTAATATTAATTATATTGATAAGGTATATTATGCTTTTAGTGAACAAAATTTAGAATACGCTTTTACTGGAAAAACAACAAATCATAAACAATAGAAGATAAAATCAGCGATTAAAACAAGATGAAAAACGAAGGGGAACAGCTATGTAATTTACCCTTATATTTTTATTTTATGGCAAAAAGATATCATAAGTTCTTGTATTTTAAAAAAAAATCAATTTTATCTTTGCATTATTGTTTTTTCAATGTAACCTTTTAATGCCTAATGTTATCCTTTAAGCAATGTTTTTTCGTCATTACGGCGTTGGTGTGGCGGTTTACAATATTGATATGATAATTCACGGTATTGACATAATAGATTAACGTGACTGATGACATGGCCGGTGAATTAAATTGGTAACTCTAATATGGTAGATGAACTGTCAGATCATCATTTTGAATTGGCACACTAGTATTATAATGGTCAACGACGAAAAATATTGATCAAGGACTATATAAAAATTATTTTTTAGTTAGAGAGTCACATTAAGAGAAAAAATAATACGATAATAACTTTAGTTTTTTCAAAAATACAAAAATTATAATGCATTTTTGTTTATTTTTCTCAGACTGGAAATTATTTTACTTTTACGGTTGTAACGGAAGTCGTAGCATAAACATTATCTACAAAGAAAGATATTTTCAAGGAAAATGATGTAAAAGTTTGTTCATTTGAGACGAGTATAAACCAAGGTTGAACAAGAATATCCTCCTCTGCATAATTCCGTCTACTTTATGCGCCATCTCCAAAAGGAAAGCTCGCGCCGGTGAAAAAAATGGCTTCTTCCTTCTCCTATTTGACCGTGTTGTACCTCTCTTATCTGCCTTTACTCTTCCAAGCCACCCTGGGATCATCAGATCATCACACGATCGTCCTACCAACGACGCCGGCGAACCATATCTTTAAAATTGCGATCTTTGCCGACTTACACTTCGGGGAGAACGCGTGGACGGACTGGGGACCGGAACAGGACGTGAATTCTATGAGGGTCATGTCAAGTGTGCTGGACAACGAAACTCCAGGTGATATTTATCCATTGTTCCTTTACTCTCCATACTCGAATTTTTAGTTAACACTCGGTTTAGCAGATTTCGTAGTGTATCTTGGAGATGTTATTACGGCCAACAACATCCCGATTGCAAACTCAAGCTTATATTGGGATCAGGCACTCTCTCCAACAAGATCCAGGGGCATCCCTTGGGCTACCGTGTTTGGAAACCATGATGATGCTCCGTTCGAGTGGCCCATTCAGTGGTTTGCTGCCCCTGGAATTCCTACGCTCCTTTGCCCTGTCCCCAATTCATCCTACTCAGGTAAGTGGATGAATTGCAATTCATATTGTTCTATGCTAAGAAACATGACAATTACCTTAGCGCACCGCATGTGTGGTTCTAGGGGAAGACTGTAGTTTTAGGGGAACATCACGATTGGAGCTGATGAAAAACGAGATGGATAATAATGTGCTCTCATTATCTAGAACCGGGCCTCAATGTCTATGGCCGGCTATATCCAACTATGTTCTCCCGGTCCTGTCCAACGATAAACGTTTAGTGCATCTCTACTTTCTTGATTCTGGTGGAGGAACCTATCCACAAGTTGTATCAGCAACCCAAGCCAAGTGGTTCAAGCGTGTATCTGAAGAACTTAATCCCGATTCAAGGTACGAAAATAGCGTCTTATCAGACCAGTTTCTTGAATTTCTAACTTGTTCTTCACTTGTTACATTAGGAAATAAAGTGGAATGGATGAATAATTCAACATACCAGAGGAAAAGAAAACATTGCAATTGTGTCTGAATGAGGGTCTCAAAAACATCATTTGTCAAATAAATAAAAAATTTGTTGGACAGGGTCCCAGAAGTAATCTTCTGGCATATACCAAGTAAAGCTTACAGGAAGGTGGCTCCTATATTCAGAATATACGAGCCTTGTGTGGGTTCCATTAATAAGGAAAAGGTTGCTGCTCAGGAAGCTGAAATGGGCATCATGAAGATACTTGTTAAAAGGCCATCCGTCAAGGTGATTTCATGCATAAATATGCCTTTCTTTTTCCTTTTACGAGTCCTATCCGCAAACCGTACTCGAATTTCTAAGGTTTGAACTTGAGATTTTCTACTTTAGTAATTTGGATCACAAGCACACATATGTCCTTATGAGTTGCCCCTACCGTATAGGACATCATCTCATCTAGTTTGTGTTAGAAGAAACCATCATATGCAGGGTAAAGAGGTTGAATGGGATGTAAACTTGTTATGCAGGCAGTGTTTGTAGGGCATAACCATGGATTGGACTGGTGTTGCCCATACAGGAAGCTCTGGCTTTGCTTTGCTAGACATACAGGTTACGGTGGATACGGAAACTGGGCTAGAGGGTCTAGAATCCTTCAAATCAATGACCACCCTTTCTCCATAAGCTCCTGGATAAGGATGGAAGACGGTTCAATGCATAGTGAAGTAATCCTTAGTTAATCAATTCTCAACATATATATTGTTACTCTCCGTCTCTCTTTGTCTAATTCAAATTGTCATCACTCAACACTTATATATTAGAGGAAGTTGAGACCGGCACCGGCAGTGTATATTGAGAGATGAAAATGGCTCCAATTCTCCATTCTCATCTAACCATACTTCGACAAAATAGGTGGGCTCACCTCCGTAAATACCCTTCACCCACCCACCAACCCAACCTACTCTGCCTCAACCTTTCAAACATGTACTTAAATAATTTATAAAAGTATTTAAATTGATATAGGATTAATATATAATTTATAAAATTCTATATAATATATAAATTTTATATTTAAATATTATAAAAACGAAGGTTATCATAACATAAAAAATGAAGGCTAATATAATACATTTAGAAAATATAATAATTTTTTGTCTTATAACTTTTGTATTTTTTTTAATTTTCAATCCTTTCAATTTTCTTAAGATTTTTTTACATGTTTCATACTAAACAACAAGCTAAACTTTAAGTTTAATAGGTTTTCTATTTGGATTATCATTTGGTATCTAATCTACTATTACAGAGATAATATTTTAAATCCAATTTGGTTCATTTACAATGTAAAGATTCAAACCATTAAACTTGTTTAAAGAATCTAGTATCTTATCTCATCAAATTAATTTATTATTGGTAATCTAATAATATTTCAATAAATAAAATGTAACTTCAAAAAATAGTACAAAAAATGTGAGAGAGACGGTAAAAGAAACTCCGCAAGCTTTTAACGGAGAGGATTAAGGGAAAATATTTAATTATTAATGGGCCTATTATTGTCGTAACCAGTATTTTTTTTGTAGGAAGCCGATTAGTTACGACGATTAGGTTTTGAAAAAGTTTTGTTAAAAAGATGAGAGTCGTCACCAATTATTTTTAAGGTGAGATTAGAACACCAAAAATTGATTAACTTTAATAAACCATGTTATTTTAATGAAATACCAACGTTTTGATATGCGGAATTAAAAATCAGGCTCGGGAATCAGTTATGTGTGGGGAATGATTAGCACTCACATCGTCCAAAATTGATATCTAATTAATTACCCTATATTTTAAAATTGAAAATTTTAAGTTTGAAGTTTTATTTAGTTTAAAATCCATAACGCATGCAAATTTAAAATGATGTCAATTTATTATGACCAATAATGAATACCCCGAACACAAGCAGAGGTTTCATTATTAATCCTAATAAATAAACATTGTCTTAATAGTTTTAAAATCTTGATGTGGTTTTGAAAAGAATGTATATTTACTTCGGAAATTAAGAGTGGTTACCCCTGGGCATAATGCGGAAGATACACAATTAACCCCTAATAAATTAACACTTCCCTATTTTGAAATCGAATCATGAAGTCAAACAATCAATTATTGAACCTAAATATACTAAGTAAATTAATTAAGGCTTCTCTCTAACTAAAGTGTCAAATTATAACTTTTAAAGAATCCAGAGGATTAAACCTAAAATGTAGGTTCTAATATTAACCATGATCAATTTTAACTAATTATCGGATCGAATAATTAATTCAGAACCTCTAGCATAAATATGAGGACCAAATCAAACATTCACCTAAGTTAAAGGATTAAAGTGAAATTAAGTTAAAATATGGGCTCTAATTATTAATCCTAGTCAATATTAGCAAATTGTTGAATCGGCTAATTAATTTAGAACCTTAGACAAAAACGGGGACCAAAATTTAGTTCTCCTTAATTAAAGGACTAAAGTGCAATTAAACCTAAGATAGAAGTTTTAATATTAAAACCTAATCAATTTTAACCAATTATTGAATCGAATAACTAAAAAAGAACCTCGGGTCAAAGCGAATGACCAAATCAGAAACTCTCTTAAATTAAAGGACTAAAGTGTAAATTAAACCTAAATGGAGGATCTCAAATTAAAACCTAATCAATTTTACCTAATTATTGAATCAAATAACCGAAATGGAATCTCGGGCAAAAGTGAAAATCAAAGCAGAAGTTCATATAAATTAAAGAATTAAAGTGAAATTAATCATAAAATGGAGGCTCTAATATTAAAACCTAATCAATTTCATCAAATTATTTGTAACACCTATTTCTCGTATATGTTTCCGTACACAAGTCATAGATATCACATGACTTGTAAAAACATTCACCCATTTGTAAAACCCATAAAAATTTTGTTTTAAAATTTAAAACAAAACATTTTAGTACAATAATAAAACAATCGTTGAAACATATTACCAAAACTATCACTTTAAATACAATTCAGAGCATTTTTCTTTATTTCGATTACATGGTAGCAATTTTTCAAAATAAACATGATTTTCCTACTGTTACTGATGAGAGTTAACCTTAGATTGATGATAGTTGCAATTGCACCCCTTACCCGACTAATCTTTGCTTTTACCTAGGCGTTAAATCAACACACGTTAAGTATTTACTTAGTGAGATATAATATTGTAAAGAAACTGCAATTTATATATATATATCATGGCTATTTAACGACGAACTAAATCACATACTCTATAAAGATCAAATAAATCCTTTTCAGTTAAACTCGATTTCTTTCATACAATCATCGAAATTATTCTTAGTATGCCCAGTATACCTATTTTTCTGTATATTTTCCCCCATTAATCTTTAGTAATTATTCTTTATTTTCATTTATGGCATCCTTTCATGCCTATAATGCACCGTTATGCATTTTCATTTACGACATCGTTTCATGTCGTTAATGCATCGTTATGCATTTCATATATGGCATTCTTTTATGCCGATAATGCACCATTATGCATTTTATTTATGGCATCCTTTCATACCGATAATGCACCGTTGTGCATTTCATTTATGGCATCCTTTCATGGTGATAATGCACCGTTATGCATTTCATTTATTCATTTATTTTAGAGCATTTCATACTCTAAAACTTATTCATAATATCCAATTCTATACACATTATAAACATATATCAAATATTGTAAAACATACATTAAATCAAAACATTCTAATTTGACTCATTGTGAATCTTCCTCATCTCATATATAAATACAATAAATGTACTCACCTGGTATGCCTCGTTAATATGCTTTAAGGATGCCCAGCTATTCGAAAACTTTATCTTTGTCCTTTTCCTTGCTTGACTCGGGAGCTTGGTTACGATCTACACAAGCATCCATTAATTACACATACCATACCAAATGTTAGTATACTTCTCTAACATTTATACATTTTAAAAATACTTAAAAGTATTACTATATTAAATTTCTATCAAAATTCATCATATCTTAAAGTTTCCAGATTCAATAGAATCGGTACCCCTATTATGGTATCGCTACTTATATACTATTGTCGATACTCCCCTTTCAGTATCGATACCATTTCTACATTCTGTAATCCATGGTATCAATACATTCCTTTTAGTATAGATACCCACATTAGTATCGATACTAATTGCATCAGTATCGATATTGTAAATCATAATTCTTCAAATTTAAACCTATAGTATCGGTACTATTCTTCCAATACCGATACCATTACCTAGATTTTCCATTTTTCAGCTTGATTTTTACAAAATTTTCATTTAAAACTCTTACTTTTGCCTCAACAATACCCTTAAATTTAACATCACTTAACCTAACTAACTTTCCTCCATTTAGCTTCTTATAAAATCTAAATTCTCCAAAGAACATCTAAAACTAAGAATCATACTGTAACGCCCCCAACCCGTATCCGACCCGAATACGAGTCTAAGGTCTCACATTGACTTTTCAACTTTGACACTTAAAGAAAACAGGGAAATTTAAAACTTTCATTAAAATAAAAAGGACTTATTTACATGGATTGACCAAAACAACCAAAATTGATAAGAGCATTCATAACTGACACTTTACTTACATGCCAACATACTATACACGACAAAATACATACTTTATCAGTTACTTCTGATTTGATCCGTTAGCAGTGTTGCTGTTCTTGTCACCCTATTACCGCTCTTCCTGATTCTTGGTACCTACGTGTAAATCACTTACACCTAAGTCACAGACTTAGTGAGACATAACATAAATGTATGTATTCACATGTATAACCATGAATTTATGAATATGCGTTCTTACCATGAATCAGGACATTTCAATGTTCATGTATCGATTACACTATAATATATATGATGATAACATGTACATATAACACATACATTCTCATGTCAATTCCACTTTAATTTATCTTTGGATTGCCCATGTACATTATTGAGAACAAAGGTATGTGAGTACATAGAGGTTGTGCACTATGTTGTCACCACAGCTCGTATAATTCCCTCAAGGGGCACTGAATATTTTTCCCGAAGGACCACTGATTGTTCCGAAGAACCACTATGTTCCGAAGGACCACTGATTATCCCTTGACTCTTGGCATGCCAATTATACCTATAGCTCTCGTATCATATAACATGGTCTTAAATATGAATACATTTTTCATTTCATATCTCTTTCATCACTTTTCATATAAACACATATATACATATTTGCATTAATCTACATACCTGGATTGTTTCTCTTGTAAGGCATTCGTTCACATAATATAATATTGAAGCATAATGAATTATGCATGAAACCATTATAGAAATAATACATGTATACATGTACATGAATATGAAATCATGAATTCAACTATCAGAGATAGACTTATCACAAGTCTTATCTCTATACACTTTAACTATAAAAGGCACTCACCTTGGCCTTGCTTGTTTCAACTTGATCCTAATCCTTTGTTTGTTCCGGAACAAAATTATGTTCTATATCTACATAGTAATACATTGATACTAATCAGTATATTCTAAACTATCACTCCTTAGGCTAAAAATAAAGCTATTTCCAACTTTTAATGATGGTATGCATCGATGCACTACACCATGTATCGATGCATCCCTTGACAGGTGCATCGATGCACTACCTATGCATCGGTGCATAAATCCCATTCGATGTTTGTATATTAAACGGGTGCATCGATGCACTCCTTATGCATCGATGCATTAATGGCATTCGATGTTCCTTATTTAAGAGTGCATCGGTACACATTGAATGTGCATCGA